GGGGGGAGGGGGAGGGAAATGGGAGGCTGGGAGGAGGCGGAAACTTCTTTTTTCTTATTCTCAATAAAAAAAATTTATAGTAAAAAAAAATAAAATCAAATCAAACAATGTACACACCCGATTTTGCAAGAGACAACCCAGTTTATCAAAGAGTAAACGCAAGGCATTGTGGTGAGAATTGGAGAGCTTTTGTCTTTTCCAGCTAGTCTCAGCTGGAATATATAGAACTCTCTTTTCTGTCTAGAGAAAACAATCTAACTGGTCAAGGAAGTGGGCAGTGGTGTGAACTTTTGTGTCTCTTCCAGAAGATGAGGATTGAGGAATCTATCACGGCACAGGATTTTTTGGAGAGCAGGGCATGATGGTGGACATCTATAGTGCCAGTTTTTGGGAGGCTGAAGCAGAAAGAGTGTAAGCTCAGCACCAACCTAAGGTAAAGAGTGAATCTGGGACAGCCTGGGCTACATAATAAAAGTGGAGAATAGATTGGCCTGATGACATCTAAATTTCAACCGTGCCTCTTCTTTTTTATTTTATTTGATTTTTTTTTCATTTTATTTATTATGTATACAGTGTTCTCTCTGTCTGTATGCCTGCTGGCCAGAAGAGGGAACCAGACCTCATTACAGATGGTTGCAAGCCACCATGTGGTTGCTGGGAATTGAACTCAGGACCTCTGGAAGAGCAGTCAGTGCTCTTAACCTCTGAGCCATCTCTCCAGCCCCTTTTTTTCATTTTAGATACCAACCCCTGTTCCCCCTCCCTCCCTTTCTCTCATCCCCCCCCACACCGTCCCCTCCTCCCACACCCTATCTACTCATTAGAGAGGGTAAGGCCTCCCTTGGGGAGTCAACAGAGTCTAGTAGGCAGGACCAAGCCCCTTCCCCCTGTAGCAAGGCTGGGCAAGGTATCCCACCATAGTGAATGAGCTCCAAAAAGTCAGGACAAGTACTGGTCCCACTGCCAGGGGCCACCCCAATAGATCAAGCCATATAACTGTCACCCACATTCAGAGGGCTTAATTTGGTCCCAAGGTTCTCCACCTGTCAGTCCAGAGTCCCTAACTTCTTAACTGTACAAACTGGATGACTGAGTCTAGAAACCAGTAGTCCACCAGGGTCCATTTGTATTGCTCTACCCCCTCCCATTCCAAAGGATTCTTGGTTCCTTCATTTCCTCCCCTTATTAGATGAAAGCTTGTCAGTCATAAATAGTCATCCTAAACATCTGAACGTCCTCAGTTATTGATATCTTTATTCTATCTCATACCAACTAAGCTGTATTCTGTATTTATTTAGTACAGAGTACCAACTGGCCAAAGCCACACCTGTTAAATAGACAATACGCACAGCATTGCAGTGGGCAACAGCCTGTGAAGGAGGAGGTCACTTTTGTCACTGGGAACTGCAAAGCCCACAGAACTGGGGAAAGCCCTGCAGAATGCTAGACAACCACTCTTTCTGTTCCTATCCTACAACCCTAGCCCAGTTTCCCCATCCCATTTCAAGAAGCTTGAAATAGCCATCTTCATTAGTCCCAATGTTTCATTAATATCTTGGTAATGGTTAATGGTTTAGAAACAATACCAAGTAAATATTATTTAGTATTATTCTCATTATTATTATTCTTAAAGTGCGGGGGGAGGGTGGTCAGTGGTTAAGAAAGTTTCTGCTGTTCTGGAATTCCTGAGTTCAGTTCATACCAGTTATAGTGGATAGCTCACAAACCATCTGTAACCCCAGCTCCAAAGACCCCTAATGCCCTCTTCTGGGTTCCCCAGGTACTCGTATACACAAGGCACACACATACATGCATATACACAGGCACACATGTGCACACACACACATGCACACACACAGACTATTTTTAAAGGCTAGGGATGAAGAAATGGTTCAGCGATTAAGAGCACTCTCAGCTCTTACAGAAAACCTGGATTCGGTTTCCAGC